TCGCGTAATTAATGCTGCATAACTCTCATTTGTTGCATCACCCAAAACAGTAGGTTTGTTTATTCAAACCAACTGCCAGACAAAATCAGGATGAATAACTGGGGTAGAGGCACCTTGTTTTTAGTGGGAGTGACATAGAGGAATGGGATGACACCCCCTCACATTGAGAACTGGATGGAAAAGTAGAGCTTAGGACTGGATGTAAGTCTTAGGAACCATTGTTTAAAGGGAAGACTTTATTTGGTAGAATCGATCAAAATGAAAGAAGCCTATCTGTGCTCCTTCACTTCATTCCCTTGAAATTTGGTTGCCATTCAGTCGTTCACCTGAAATAACCGGAATAACCCTTCCGCTACAAGGGTGACAGCGCTGACAACTCCATTCAAAAGAAACAACAAGTTTGGTTTTCCTGATTGCCGTAGAAGGAGGCCAATTGATGTGATTCCTTGAATCTGCAATGAAGAGTGATTGGACCAACGAAGATGCTTGCTGTAGGAAAGTTTTAGCCTCTTATCCCTTTCAGATCCATCTTGCTTGAGCCAAATGTAGCAATCGAGTCTTCCCGGAAGTCGAAATGAGCCATTCCAATGGGAAAGAAGACTCATTAAGACACAGAAGGGAAGGGAGGCTATATGCCTGGCCGGAAGATCATACTGCTAAGCAAAAGTGGTTTACGGAGACGGTAAAGGTCATCCAGTTGCACAAACCGTGGCAACACATCGCTGACGAATTAAGGAGTACTCCCCACAAGATACAAATTCATTGGTCCTGTCTGACTATTAACCTTACCTGAGAATCCTGTTGCGATGGTCAAGGCAGAAGAGTGACCATGATGAACGCCTGACCGACACATTTAAGGACTTCCACGATTCAGTCACCATGCATAGTATCATCCTTACTGACTCGTGCTCCTCACACTGCCTTAACGATAAGGAATAGTATAAAATGTACTTATTAACCAACTCATGTTCTTGAAATTCATTGAACCCGTTTGGAAGGGTGCATATGAACTTGGCTTTTGGTGTATGATTACAATCTCGGGTGATAAAGTGATCCCCATAGGTAGCAATATCAATAAGGGAAGGAGGGGACCAGTGAAGAGCTAGCCCATTTGAAAAGTTGATGATGGTTGGTGGTGATATTGGAACAGAACGGCACATTGGAATTGGGCGGACTAATGCACAAGCGAGCGAGCGGGTGCAAATGCACGACGGCGTGTGGCATAAATCATTTGAGACAGCGACGTTCACTCCTCCCTTGCCTCATCTCCCCTCTCCTCCTCCGCCTCGTCTCTCCTACACGCTGCCACCTCTCTTCACCCCTCCCATCATCACATCACCCATCCTACACGAAGGGCTGGCTGGCTGGAGAGCGCGCACACAAAAGTTTAGTTAAGTGGCGGACGAGGGAACGGGCTAGCGATCATGTATGATGCTGCTGGTGGTGATGACGAACCGAAGCTTTTCGCGCATAGTTCCACTGCCCGTATTTTTTTGTGTTCACTCTCCTAAAGATGGGAGTCACATATTTACACATGAGCATACAAGCCTTTACCACCCGAGTTTTGCTTCCTCTAAAAACAGTATAGGGAAGATTTTAGCCACCTCCGGTAGATGTCTTCTTCCTACGACACTGTGTTAGTGTCCGGTGGATAAAAAGCAGGGTTCCTGCGCTGTTTTGAAGTTTGATTGCCATATCTATGAAGCCCACTTTATAAAAACCGAGCCCGAATAACGGAGGTTTGAGAATGGCCAATTAATTAAATAACAATTGGAGCAAATACCCTTCTACCACCGCCGGAGGATTTTTACCCACCTAAGCGCAATAAATTGACCTGTTGTCTAACAGTAACACAAAATGGTGTTCTAGGGAATAATTTTTTCTTCCCCTTTAGTGTGATTTCCGGTACACCGCCCCGCAGTGACTCCTCTCCGACGGCTTGTGGGAACTCGCAAAATGCATTTGATTATTTGTATCCCTGCTTCATTAAACAGAGGTTTCCGTTAGTGTATTGCCAAGATGGTTTCTATTGCAGCACTCGCCATCACTTCCCGCCTACTTTAATTTACCCTCAGTTTATCTCATGCTGCTTGCACTCAACACACCCTATCCTATCCTGTTTGCTTTTCGGTTTTTCGGCCTTCCCGCCTTAAGCCTGCCGCCAAACAATCATGTTCGAAGCTTCTAGACAAATTGGCTGTGTAGTATGGGTAGAAGGTGAGTTGGCACAGTGTAGGAGCAGAGGGCACCATTCGGAAATGGTTGAGATCATATGAGTGGGATGATGAAGAACTCAAAAACAGGAGCTACATCTGCTTGAAGAAAACCCCTAACCTCTGATCCTTGATCCTTTGTTAGAACAGAGGAGTAGGCGGCAATGTCGTCATCACATTAATATGCGAGTACGATGCTAATAACTTGGCCACAAGCATATCGTAGGTAGTGCCTAACGTGAGTGCTGCAACAACCTGTTTACACCTGCATTAACTGGGAAAGGAAAGTCGTGACAGCTATGCTTGTAGTTTCTAATCGCGTGCAGTGCATAAACAAATTGTCATAAAACTGTCCAAAATCCGCACCACCTCATACTCAGGAAACTTTGTTGCCATAGTGTTTGAATTTGAGGTGGACTGTAGACAGAATTTTTCACCATGACCCTCGCACTTGCTGGAAGCCAAGATCCGTCTACACGATGCAACCCCAAGAAGCACTAGCAAACCTTCTTCTTCTTCTTCTTCTTCTTCTTCTTCTTCTTCTTCTTCTCTCTCTCTCTCTCTCTCTCTCTCTCTCTCTCTCTCTCTCTCTCTCT